AATTCTTGGAATGGCTAATTAAAGCCTGTTTTTTAGTTCACAGCACTGGGGTGGAGCATGTTTCCATCTATAATAACATGGTGGCCAGGTACAAATCTGGAAGTTAAACAGAGCAGTCAAATTCCATGGTCCAAGCTGAGTGATTTCCAAAGAGCAAACAGCCTTAAGAGATTCTTAAAATTCTTTTAATCGAAAATACAATCACATATTTTAAGTGTCCCTGTTTGTTACACATGTAACTTACAATCACTGATGGGAGTTCTGCACATAAGGGGGAAAAATAAAACCTGCATGTAACTCTCATTTCATTTGTCAGCCACCAAGAAAGTCTACCCCTTTCTCAATAGCACTGAAGAAAATAAGAGGCAAAGGGGATTTCTTTTTCTATTTTGAAATCTGTCAAAATTCATAAAGGTATTGCTTGGTTTCCTTTTGAGCTGATCAGCCTTGATACTGAGCAGGACCTGGAAAGTTGTGTCCCCCAAAGAAAATTTGTTGCTTAACTCACTTCCCTGTCAGCACATCCCAGAGAGGCTGGGATTACAGTCCGGATGTTTGGTGATGCTGGTTCAGACACAGTTTACCATGATAAACAGGCTGGCAAATGCTCTGAGCCAGCTTCCCAGCTGGAGGAAGTCACAGATATGCCTTTGTCTTCCTTCATTAGACTCATTAGGCTGCCCACTAACTCAGAGTGGGAGGGACGCCTCCCACAACCCTAGGGGGCTACAGACTTCTTTACAGCAACAGAGGGTCTAGGCCAATAGCTTTTGGTCTTGGAACTTGGATAACCACCAGTGGAGTAATCCAGTCCCTCTAGGGTGAACCTCAACTCCGTTTTCAGGCTTGGAACTTGGGAGGGCGTCATATTCCATGTAAAATATGGTAAGAGTTTTTTTTAAATAGCTAAAATGATGTTTTAGATTTGGTTGCCATGAGCAAACTGCTGTGCATCTTACCTGTGCAGTCCCTCACATTGGATTGTCAGGCCAGATGCTGGCTGGAGCAGCAGTAGTACACCTGTCACTGAGGGACATCATTATAGGCGGCCATGACTCTGAAATGGGGCTTGTCCATTCAAAGCTGACTCTGGATTCAGGAGCTTTGTAGTCCTGTAATTTCTTCAATACACTGGTGCGGGGGAAAAACACTAATATGGACAAGTTGTCTGGGGCCAAATAGGACGTGTCCATCCCTGCAGTGTAACCTGCCCTAGTGCAAACCTTGCTTGGCTCTGGTACAGTGCATCCGCCACAGAGGAAACCAGTGAGGTGGGTACAGCAGCACCGATGTCCTGTGTGTAGGCTGGGCTGTATTATCAGGCTGGCTGAGAGCCAGCTTTGAAAAGCTGAGCCTTCAGCCCCTCGGGCAGCAGCATCTGCAGAGCATGTGGGGCTCTGGCTTTTCTCTGTCCTCTGCTGTGACCAGCAGCTTTATCCTTCCCCCTTTGTTCTTTCACCATTGCCATGTGGGCTGGTCTGCAGCAACTTGTGTTTATGACTGCTGCCCTTTGTGGCTGTTGCTAGGGGGTTGCATCCCCTTTCTTTGACAAACATTGGATGCAGCTCGCTCTTGGGTTTGAGTAACATACTCTTGGGAGACACAGTGATGATTCCCCCCACAGCCTGCCCCATCAGTCCTGAGCTGGAATAAAGTCGCTCTGTCCTACCTCTATAATGTGTGTGCCACTGTCTGTAAATTGAGAGGCTCTGCAGCCCTTCCTTACTGCCACATTATTTTAAAAGCTCTTTAATAATCCCCTTCCTTTATTGGAAGGCTGGTAATATTGGAATGGTTTTAAGATGCTGCTTCAGAAACTCTGCAGATGTGTGCAGGGGACTGGATTTGATGATTTCTTGAGGCTCCTTCCAGTCCTATGAGTCTACGAAACAGGCTTTGTCCTGGGAGTCAAAAGCCAGGAGAGATTCTTGAGATCCTCCAGTCTGACCCTAAGGCCCTAGGAGTTCCCTGGATTAATTCGTGCTTCAAGTCCAACATCTGTGTTGAAATAGACTGTCTCTTCTGACATTTAAGTCTGGATTTAAAGAATCTTCTTGCTGTTTGAGCAGCCCACAATCCGATGTGCTCTATTCTTTTCCCCAGGGGACCCCAATAAACCTTCTGGATTTAGAAGTGTGAAAGCACCAACAACAAAAGTTGCTTCCTCTATCGGAAATGCCCAGAAGCTGCCCATTTGTGAGCAGTGTGGATCCAGCATTGTGTAAGTATCAACCCGTCCCAATGGCTTACAGACTTTGCTGTGCAAGTAGGGTATGTGACTCTGCTGAAAGATGCAGTGAAGAGCTGTTGCGTCTGCTCTGGGTAGATGGCTGCATGTGGCAGTGAAAGGGTCTGGCAGGAGGGAGAGCAGCATTCCCTACTATTGGAGCCTTTCACTGTGGTAAGGAAAGTTCTGACCAGGGCAGCTAGGGTGGCGGGACAGCAGGTTACATCAGTGAGTTCTTTTACCAGGGATGTAAGGAGTCCAAACCAGGAATTAGCATTAAATATGAAGCCCTGTGGTTACTTTAATGACTGGGGAAGTGTAGAAAGCTCTGTACTATAAACAGTGTAGCTAATGAATGCAAAGAGTGCTGCTAGAGCAAAATTACAGGAAATTGTAACAGTCTGCTGTGTAATTGCCTTCTTTTGATTTGGCTAGTGGCCGATAGCACTTGCATGGTGTTTCCCCCAGGAGAAGGCCCAGATACAGTAGAACAGTTTGACACCTCAACTACACTTTAGGAGTTGGTGACTCTTTTGTGAATGGGAAAATTCAGGCAGGGTCCAGACACTTTTTGCTTCCCACACTGGTTGTGCAGGAGTTAATTTTTTTAATGTTACTTAGTCTTGAGCCATTTGAACCCACTGCTCATGGTACATCCTTGGTTTTGCACGTGCTGGTTTACCCGCCTGTCTGTAAGATTAAGGCCTAATCTACACTACAAAGTTAAATTAATCTCAGCCACCTTGTGCCAACCTATTTGTGTACATTTCTACACTCAAATTTGCCTTTGGCCAACATAAATGCCCTTAGGCAGATGCATTAATGTCACCACCCTGAATGGCCTTGAATCACAATCAATCAGCTGAGGGCACAGGGTTCTTGTTGGTAGTCATGGGGACAGAACGTCCTCTGGGGTAAATTGATCCCTGTCGAGCTACACCAACTGAAAATCTTGCCCATAGTTTCTCTACGACACATTCTGCCTCCCTAGAACCAGGGTCCCCATAGATATTTTCTCTGTCACATTGCTGCTGCAGAGTGGCTGTGTCCTTACTGCCATGGGCGCTGGCCGTGCTGCCTTGAGCAGTCACAGAAGTGTGCAAGCATGGGGGCATGGGTTCAGCCAGGGAGCCCTTGAGAGATTGCAGGAGCCCAGAGTTGAGTGATCATGTTGTTTCCCACAGGGGAATGTTTGTGAAGCTGCGTGACAAGCAGCGCCATCCGGAGTGCTACGTGTGCAGTGACTGTGGGACAAACCTCAAGCAGAAAGGACACTTCTTTGTGGAAGATCGCATCTATTGTGAGCTGCATGCCCGAGAGCGAGTGACCCCGCCTGAAGGCTATGAGGTGGTCACTGTTTTTCCAAAGTGAATGGCATCATCTTTGTACGAGTCTTCCTGAAAAGCAGGCCAAGCTCCCTCCAACCCTGCCATGCAATAAGGAATGCTTGGCATGGCCTTTCTCTTGCTGCCACAGTAACCCTGCATCTGTTAGCCTTACATGCCACTAACTGTCACGCTTGCAGGTTTTAAAATCAGCTCTGACGAATCAATTGGATGGCTTCTTTGTACTGTCCAATCCTCTCCCTTCGCTGTTGATTGCAGATGAAAATCAGAAGCCAAAGCACAGAAGCTGTATGTCTTCTGTTCATGTTAAATAAACGTGATGAATCTACAAGGCAAACTGTTGTCTGCATTTCCTCTGGCCCTGTGTGCATTGCCTGCCTCCGCCCCCACCGCCACAAACACTCTGCATCTGAACAGGCTTGGCAGAATTCAATTTCCATGATTTTGTCATTTTGATGGAGCAAATTTTGACCATTACTTTAGCTCAGGCCTGTGATAAAAGGACCGTTCCAAGCCTATGACAAAATGAGAGGAAGCATTTATCCTGTGGCTCTCCTGTATATCACCAGAAGCTATTAAATTGGGCTTCTGGTGCATATTTCTTATGCTTTTATTTAATGGCCATTACTTTGTTTTATTTATGTAGCTATTTTCACTATGCCCTATTTTGGTGGGTTTACTAGCTTGAGTTGTTAGAAAGAAAGGATGATAAAATACATGTAGTCCAAGGGGAGTGTTCATTTTTATTTCATTTCATATTAAATAAACATTTTAACCAGTGCACATTGTTAATTAGCCCTTGTTTTAATATTATTTTTCTTCCATAAACAAAATTCTCATACTTGGTGAATTTTCTCAGATTCCTCACATGGCGGAGCAGGTCAAATTTCTTGTAGTTTTATGATAATGGTGTTAATTTCAGTGTCCCACATATTCCATACCACACTATACTCATTACTCTGGTAGGGCTGAACAGAGACACTGGATTTATGGCTTATTACAACAATCTGTAATCCCCTAGTCCCGTTTAGCCTATGACTGCAGGGGTGTGAACAGGCTACCTTGGATTGTCTCAGCGCATAGTGTAACTATTTACACTAAACACACTGTTATGCTTTGATTGGTTGTGAAGCTGGGAGCACATTTCCCAGACCTGAGGAACCTCTGTGTGAGTTTGAAAGCTTGGGTGTCTCACCAACAGAAACTGGTCCCATATAAGAGATTTCCTCACTCACCTTGTCTCTCAATATGCAACACTACATACAACATCCGTGCGGTGTATATACAGCAATTGTTTGTCTAGGGAAATGTTGCACCAGGGTAAAGAATTTAGTTTGATTATAGCTGTCCGTATCGGTCAGCGTCATATGAGCAGCCAACTCTCTATAGGACACTGATTTGAGAAACATTGAGAAGATTGCCCTGCTGAGTATCTGATTTTGATGTGTGAATCATCCTGCAATGTTATGCTGGTCAGTGATGCTCCCTGGAATTCTGGGGAGTCTCACTGGTTTCTTTTGGTTTGAAATGTCTGCCACGTGTCCTGCCTTGGTTCTCTGTCAGTCTTTGTTATTACTCCATTGGCTCAAATGCCTTCACCTTGTTTACAATATAGCCTGAGCCACTATAATCCTCCTGACTCAAACTATTCTAAGGGGGTCACAAGCAGGAGGGAGAAAAATGGTTCTTCCCGGCCTCTGAGGCTAGAACAAGGAGCAATGGGCTTAAACTGCAGCTAGGGAGATTGAGGTTGGACATTAGGAAAAAGTTCCTAACTGTCAGGGTAGTTAAACACTGGAATAAATTGCCCAGGGAGGTTGTGGAATCCCCATCTCTGGAGATATTTAAGAGTAGGTTAGATAAATGTCTATCAGGCAAGGTCTAGACAGTATTTGGTTCTGCCATGGGGGCAGGGGACTGGACTTGATGACCTCTCAAGGTCCCTTCCAGTCCTAGTGTTCTATGATAAAGTTCCCTTGCTTACAGCTTCCATAAGGTACTTGGCTGGGCTCCCATAGCTAACAATGTAGCAATCTCTACTGTGCCATGATGACTGTGGCATTACAGATCCAGTATTTGATTTGAGTCTGTTAAAATGCACTGCACAGTGAATGCTTGCAAATGAACAAAACAAAGGGAAGCAGGGCCTGCCAGCTCCTCTTCCTGATTAAAAGCAGATCTTGAGGTTACTGGAAGTGTCTATCCTGGAATATAATGAGAGGAAAGGAGGGGGAGAAGGAAGTGGATTCAGGATAGTGACAGACACCTGGGTAAGCAAACTTACCAGAGCAGAGAGGCACCACTTGGTTTGGAAGCAGCTCGTTTGTCCACATCCAGTGGCCTGGCACAAGTGCTGTCTTTTGACTAGAGCCCTTTTGACGTAGTGCATTTTGTCTACTGACAGCTTGAGCCCAAGCTTCTCTCGATGTATTTGATACAAGACAGGGCAGGTAAAAAGTTTAAGAAATGTGTGCACGCTATTTTTTTTCACTAGGCATGTGAACGAGTAGTTGACTACCCAATAAGCGGGAGCTTATCAGGTAGCGCGGACTACTCCATCACTGCCCCCCCCCCCGACCTCTGCTCTGCACTCTTAAAGGAACAGGGCGGTGCTGGATTGCAAACAGCCCGCCCCCATGCTGCCAGTCTGCATTCAGAACGGGGCAGACCAGTGGCAGCCAGTCCTGCTAGTCTCTCAGCAGAAGCCACCTACCTCCATTGCAACTCAACAGGGATGGGGGAACTTCTGCTGAGAGACAAGCTGATGGGCTGCTGCTACTCTGTCCCTTTCAGAATGCAGAGTGGCAGTGTGGGAAGGGCTGTCCTGAGAACCAGTGCGGGGGGGAGGATGGGGGCAGAGACTGAGTCCGCAGCTTTGCGCACCGGCTCCTCTGTCTCTTTAAGAGTGCAGAGCAGCAACTGGGAGTGGTGCTGAGACCCAGAGTGAGCCAGCAGTGAGCGCTTTAAGTGCCTTTCCTGAATGACTATTGGACTACCAAGTTAATCACTAAACAGCCCGGCTGTGTCTAGACTGGCAAGTTTTTCCGCAAAACTTGCCAGCTGTCTACTCAGGCCGCTTGAATTTCCGCAAGAACATTGATGATCTCATGTAAGAAATCAGTGCTTCTTGCAGAAATACTATGCTGCTCCCATTCGGGCAAAAGTCCTTTTGCGCAAAAGGGGCAGTGTAAACAGCTGAGATTTGTTTTGCGCAAAAAAGCCTCGATGGCGAAAATGGCGATCGGAGCCTTTTTGTGCAAAAGCGCGTCTAGATTGGCCACGGATGCTTTTCTGCAAAAAGTGCTTTTTCGGAAAAGCGTCCGTGCCAATCTAGACGCTCTGTTCCGAGTTTTTACTATGTCTGTTAATGTCCCATCATATGTTGATGCGTTTAGATCCAGAGTCACTGGATGCAACAACAAAAACGACCCAGTTAGTCATTGAAGTCTCATGGTATCTGCTAGTAGGCTTTCCTTTTGCCCTTTCCCCTGGTTCTCATCACAGACAGAAAGCAGCAGAGAAGACCCAAGGGCAGGCAATGTGATGTTAGTTGGGGTTGATTTCCAAGCAAGCCTATTCTGAAGCCCTTTACACAAGTGGAGCTTATCTCAATATGCTGATAGTTTCCACTTCCTTCCAACTCCAGTTCTATATGCCAATAAAACCCCTTCTTTTACTCCTCTCACTGCATGCTGATGGCACTCCCTCTCTCCAGTGCTCTGTTTCCAGCTGTGATGCAGCAGAGCATTTACCCTGTGCCTCCTTTCTCAACACTGATGATACAGAGTTGTTCCTGTGTACCTGGTCCTTATTCTCCTATTCCCATTCCCCCAGTACTCTTCCCGTTCCCACGCCTCCTCCTTAGACCTGGAATACACACCCTTAATTCTACACTTTACAGTTTACGGTCATGTTCCAGTCTGAGTTGGGGCTTCATCCCCCTCCTTTGTGTACCCCATGAGGGGACTAAGAAGTGAGGTGGTACTCCAGTGAGAGGAAGCCATTTTCCCCACCCCCATTTCCCTTCCCAACTGGTTGACCATGCTTTGAGATAAGGAGTTGAGGCAGCTGTCAAAATGTGCTCATGAATGCCATGCTCATCACCATACCCTGTAATGCTTTTAGCTCCATTCCTTATCTGTACAACTGTAAATTTGTTTGAAGCTTATAGTATGTAGTTGTATACATCTTGGATGCGTCTAGACTTGCAAGATTTTGTGCAAAAACTTGCCAACTGTCTACACTGGCCCCTTGAGTTTGCGCAAGAGCACTGACTTTCTAATGTACAAAATCAGTGCTTCTTGTGCAAATACTTTCATGCTCCCGCTCAGGAAAAAGCCCTCTTGCACAAGAGGGCCAGTGTAGACAGGGAAGAACTGTTTTGCGCATTAAAGCCCCAATGGCTAAAATGGCAATCGGGGCTTTCTTGCACAAAATTGCATCTAGACTGGCCACGGATGCTTTTGCGCAAAAGCATCCATGCCACTCTAGACACGCTTTTGCAGAACTACTTTTAACGGAAAAACTTTTCTGTTAAAAATATTTCCGCAAAATCATGCTAGTCTAGATGCAGCCTCTGGGAATAGACAGGGCTTTATGAAGATTCAGGACAAGTGCTACACGTACTAAAATACTAAGAAATCCTTTTAATGGTAATGCAGGTATTGTCTACATGCCACAGTGAAGCAGCTATGAAAATTGGCTTATTAAAATTATGCAAGTTTCATTCTCAAGTTCTCATAGATTATCTGTGGACTTAAAACACTTGATCTTGACCCAACAATGACCACGGGCCCTTACTAGAGTTGCCAGTGAGAGTCAGCATTTGTCACTTACCTTATAGCATATCTGGCAGCTGAAATAGAAAATCAGTGGCATCTTCTGGCAAGGGGTGTCTTAACAAAACAAAAAAGGGGGGGAGGCAGATACGTTGGAGGGGAGGGAAAGGGTCCAGCATGACCCAGACAAACTGGAGGATTAGGACAAAAGAAATCTGATGAGGTTCAACAAGGACAAATGAACAGTCCTGCACTTAGAGCAGAAGAATCCCATATACTGCTACAAACTAAAGAGGGACTGATTAAGAGGCAGTTCTGCAGAAAAGAACTTGGCGATTATAATGGACAAAAGCCTAGATGAGCATCAGTAATGCAGCCTTGGGGCCAAGAAGGCCAGTGGCCTATTGGGCTGCATTAGCAGGAGCATTGTCAGCAGATTGAGGGACGTGATTATTCTCTTTTATTTGGCACTGGTGAGGTCACATCTGGAATACAATGTCCAGTTCTCTTCTCCCCCCTACCCCCAGAAAGGACGTGGCCACATTGGAGAGAGCC